CAATAGAGCCAGGCCCCTGCTATTGATTGGTTGGGCTGTCTGCAGGCTGCTTTCCATCCCTTGCCCCTCATTGCCGATGATCATGTCCTTCTGCATAACTTACCCTACATTGTGCAAATGTCCCGCATCATTGGCAAATGGCTGGACAGGCATGAGCTGAGCACCAGGTAATGTAAGTGACACAAAACAACCCACAATCAAATATGCATTGACTTCTGATTTTTTTCTTTTTTCACCTTGTGTTGCCACATTTGATTCCACTCTCAGTGCCCCCCTTCATACTTACATGGTCCTCAATCTGCTGCACACCCTAATGCCTGCTCTAGACTCCAAGTTTTCTGAAACAGCGAAGAATTTGTCTGTGGCTCTGGGTAACACTGAAGGGGTGAGTCGACACTGTGTTCACTGTACTTATTCGAAAAGATGACACCTATGTGTTGGTTTGTTGAGTCACATCTTCATTATGGACCTCTTTACCAGATAGCCCCTCGCTGGAAACACTGTGTGTTAGAGACCGAGAGAGGATTTGACTTAGTTCTTAGAGAACTTCTCAATGAAAGGACAGCACACAGAGAGGTAAGTACAAATCATGGGGATTTGGGTACATGATTAATAAAAGCAGTGAATTAATAAGGCTGATATGGAGTGTATTTATTGTTCAACAGGCAGAGGAGATTATTCAAAATATCTTTTCCTCATTCAAGTTGAAATTAAATGAACTCAAGTGGACAGATCAGAAGTCTATCCAGTTTGTCATGAAAAAGGTAACATGTGAAGCAAGAAATGTTATTGTATTTTGTCTTTTTGAACTGCATTTTGATATAAATAAAGGCTTGTCTTCCTCCAGGTTCAGTCTTTAATTCCGAGACTTTGGACAACAAAAGAGATTTCTAGTGAGGCTGAGCTTGACCTGCTTTTTTCCAAGGTACATTACAGACCTCCATTGGCTCTAACGGAGTAGGTGTATAAATATTTGATGCCCTAGTTAATCCTCTTTTCCCAGTGAGTTTAACCCTCAACTTTTTGTCTAATGCTTTCCGAAACTGAGAGTCCACCCCTTTAATGGATGTGGTCTTTATTTGCAACAGCTAAGGGAAGTATAGCTGAAAACAAAGAACACCGCTGACTCTAATACCTGTATGTTTCCAGGTGACAGTCAGCACAAGTAACTTCTTCTCCAACTACGTCCAGCTACTGTCCTTATGGCAAAAGAGACGTAGTCAACTCTTGACTGAGCTGACTGAGGAGCCTGATGTGTAAGTGTCTGTCTCTGTTCTTCAAAAGTTGAGAAATATGAATGTTATGAACACTTAATCTTTTCTCATTTTTTTTTAGTTTGTCTGTCACACCTTTTCTCCTGGGTGATGAGCTCCTCTTTCCCATGGGAATGTTTGTCCCTTCACACTTCCATCCTACCTATCCTAGGTAAAGTGTACAGTGATTAAATTAAAATAATTGTTATGGTTTTTCATATTAGAGCTACCATTGAACATTATAGTGCATGCTTTGTTTTTATTTTTTAACAGGGCAATGAATTATGGTGTAATGGGTTTCCTTATCGCCAAAGATCTCCTCCATCTGATTCTGCCGGACAGTAAGAGACTCACATTTGTCCCTCACTTACAAATTGTGATTGACATCATGTTTAACATTTAAGTACATTACCTTAATCCTACTGTTAAATGCATTATATCATTCTCTGTGTTGTGGTGTAGTTTACGCTCAGAGTGAGACAGTGCATTCTGTGGGGGAATGTGTGTGGGCTCACTACCTCACTGTGACAGAAAAAACAGGCCGAGATGGAGTGTCTTCTCTCTCAGCATCGCAGCTGCAGGAGGTGTGGGTGCAGTATTCTGCATTGCAGATAGCACTGCAGGTGAGCAGCCATCTTCAGCCTTCAGCCTCTGTGTGCACGACAACATTAAGCTTATACATCCATATTTTGCTCCTCAGGCTTACCATCAGACTCTAAAGAACCACCCGAGTGACACTTCCATGTCAGGACTGTCGCACACTCGTCTGTTTCTCACATCTTTTTCTCAGGTACTGTGCTTCTATTATTAGGTTTCAACTTTTATCTCTTTGCCTCTCAACTTCTGATCCCATGTCTTTTAATCTATTCTTTTCTAGGTTAACTGTGACTCAGACCCATACCGGGAACTTATGCCCTTGGAGCCCTCCTTCCTGATTACAGTCATTTGTGCTAAATCTGATCTGTGCCCTACAAGTCTACAGTGCTTCAATAAAACCCAGCAGCATCCATTACAGGCATGCTGACAGCACTCCTCTGAAGACCAGTGGGTTGTTTTTGTAGTTACTGATTATTATTGATTGTCTGGCAAACCATCTACTTGGTGCTGTATAAATTAAGCACACTGTGGATGTTGACAAACTGTTGTTTGAATAAAGATTGTTTCTATAACAGATAAGTATGGTGGGAGTACCACCAGTATGTAAAAAGCCAAGAAAACACTGACATTTTTTTGTAGTTATTGTTAAGACATGCTTGCATTTCCGTAGATTGCACAAGATCTTAAGTATTTGTGTAAATAAAATAAACATTTTAACAACTATTTTGACTTTATATTTCACTTTATATACTGCAAAGGTAAAAAAAAAAAAACGATTACTTTTAAATGAGCTAACTTACAGTTTGGTTTGGTCTCTTAGGTTCTGGACCAGCAGTTACATAGCAACTAAAGAACTGTTTTGTTTTTAAATTCACAAAAGTAAAAGTGACCATTTATGGCTTTTAAACTTCCCATCAATCAGCTGGGGGGGTTTCACGTTTCTGTCTGAAATATGAAATAGGCTAACAAACAGCAAAAATGCGAAGGAAAGTCAAAGCCGAAAAGGCCTCACCCAGGGCCGCACAGGGAAATGCTAATATCAACATTAAAGCAAAAGAAAATACACATTTGAAGGTGATTAAACAAATAATGAGACCTACTAAAACTCAGACTGGGAAAGGTCTTGGAAAGGCAGGAGCCAAGCGTTTGGGCCGACTACTGAAGCGAGCCATCCAGGACCAGGAGAATCCCACGGTAACAGGAAAGCTTTCTCTGCCATGTGAGTAACAGCTACTGCGCTTTCAGCTAACTTAAATGTAGCTATCTAATCAAACCAATTTTCAAACTTAAGGGCACTTCAAGATCGCGTTAAGAGTTCACAAATGCACAGTTTATCTTGTTTCAAGTATTTCAAAGCCAATATTTAAGCTAGCTTGGGGGAGAAAACAAAACTGGGGGGACCCATAAATTATGATCACTTCATAATGCAGATGGGTGTGTTTGGGAGATTTTAGACCGAAATCTTTTCTCAATTAAGACAAATAAAGGAATTAAGAAAAAATACACAGCGTTTGAAGTATATCAAATCAAATATAGTTAACGTTACATTAATATTTCAATGTTATCCCATTCAGTGACTATTTAACTTACATGTATCATATGAGAAAAGCCATGACTTGAATTAACGTTAGGTCCTTGGAACAAGACACAAATTCTGTATTCTTATATCCTTTATTTGATTTACTTTACTTTTTGGGAATGTTTCACAACCTTCTCTTCTCTGATCTCTCAGCGACTCCTGTTCGCCTTTTCAAGCTTCAGATTCAAACTGAGGCAGAGAATGCACCCAAGACCAACACTGCAAAGCAAGCCTCACCTCATGTCTCCCCGCTCATCCTCAGTGTGGTTTCTCAGTACAAAAATCAAGGTGGCATCACTATGGCAGAGCTCAAGCAGACGCTGGCTGCTGGAGGCTACGATGTCACCAAGAACAGCAGGCAGGTGAACGTGGTGACCAACAGGCTGATTAACAAGACACTTGTACAAACTACAAGAAATGTGTCATTCAGACTCAACAATAAGGTAAAATAACCTAGCCTATATAATTTAGTAACATGTTTTCCTGGGCTTAGTTAAGGGGTCATACAACACTGCTGCTGCAATTCTCTGTATACTTATATTCTGTGTTATACATATAGTTAGTTGGTATGTGGCCAAAAGTAGAACACTGTATATATATATAGTAGAATAACAAAGTTTAAATCTACTGAGAGCAGTAGCACCTTTCTTCCTTCTTCCCCATGTCAGTGTTGACCTGACTTCTACAATTCAATGTGCAAGTTAGAGACAACAGGTTTGTCTTATCAACAATAATCTAAAATTGCCTGTAATTTTCAATCCTTTATTTTCTACATAAACCAGAAACAAAAAGACACAAAGCGAGTAAGGACAAGAAGTGTGAAATCCCCGGAACCAAAAGGGGATCTGAGGCGGCGTAAAACAGCCAGCAATTCCCCCAAAGGAGCAGAAAAGCTACAGAGACAAGCCAGAAAGAGTCCAAAAACAAAAGGCAAAACACAAAAAGCAGCAGCAGCCAAATCAAACAAACTAACAGCCAAGACTCGTAAACCATCAGCCAAATCGTACAAACAAACAGCTAAGACTAATAAACCTGCAGCCAAATCAAATAAACAAACAGCCAAAACACGTAAACCAGCAGCCAAATCGCACAAACCAAGAATGAAGACACCCAAAGCAAGAAAATCGCCAAAGCCAGCAGGGAAGAAACGCGGGTCTGCAACTAACCAGGCAGCACAGGTTCGCAAGGCACCAAGGAAGGCTCAAAGACGTCAACGAAACCAAAACCAACATCCGTATAAATCTTCCCGGAAAAGACAGCCTCCAAGACGGAGGCTTCCTAAAACAAGACCGCTGCGTCAGGTTGCCAGGAGAAGAGCATACTATTAGAGTTAGTATTTGGATTAATTTATGGTGAGCTGTAATAAACCTCTCTAGCAACATGAAATTGTATTGATTTTCTTTTGATTTAGCTGTATTGAAAATGTCTTTTTACACTTAAGATTCTACATTCTCAGGGAAATTAATAAATAATTAATAAAAATAATTTATCATCTCATAATATTTTTAGTCTCCACCGTGCATCTCATTTCCTTCTGTGAACTCTTCTCAGACTACATGAAACAAAATAACTCATTATTTTGTCATATTTTAATGTAACTGCTTTGACTGATAATCCAAAACTCCGTAATTGGTACAATTGATAATGGTATAAAAAACAGCCATGCTTCTACATGAAAAGGGAACACTGGGTACAGAAACCTATGTATGCTCCGCATGGTGGCCCAATGCCATCATACAAGTATACACATACAGTGTATAACAGGATACATGTCTGTAGTCCACACGGCATCACTGTAGAAATAGACTTTCATCCCAACGTTTGTGTCATATCCATTCCGAGTCCATTACAAAATGTCCATGTACTCTACTGTCACTGCCGGGTCAACCTCAGTAGTTCACTGACTGACTGACTGTCACAGGACACCCCACACTTCTTCGAAGGCAGAGCACATCTTGGCACAGGTCAGTGCTGCAGAGAGGGGGTAGTTACTGATGGACACTGTCTTCTCTGTGTAGTCCACATTCACCTAATGAGGACAAACATATCAGTGACAGATATTTGACACAGGACCAGTGCATAGGATTTAGGGGGATGTATAGGCAGAAATGGAATATAATACTCTGTAATTATGTTATGTCATTAGTGTATAATCACCTGAAACTAAGCATTGTTGTGTTTTCATTTGCTTAGAATGAAGCCTTGCTCCCTATGTAGATATGAACTACATAGGGAGTGAGCTTTCTTCCAATGCAGCCTGCAATGTTGCACTACCATGTTTCTACTCCAACCCAGAATGGACAAACTAAACACTGGCTCTAGAGATGGCCTTTCATGCTTTTTTTTTACGTTACCTGAAGGCTGCATGCTTGGAAAGGGGGTGGGGGTATTCAGTCACCGCTAGATGCCACTAAATCCTACACACTGGTCCCCTAAAGCAGTGAATCAGCTACCATCTAGAGCCATTTCTCACCGCTCCATGTGCAAACGCTCCAATCACCACTGCAGCCGGTCCCTCTGGCACTAAAGTCCGGGGGCAGACAGCCTCTCCAGCAGAGAAGGAGGTGGCTATGCGTGGGCAGCCAGGAGGCAGGTGGTCAGACACTGGATTTTTAATCATCTTCAGAAGCCTTTGGGGACCATCAGCAGCCCTGACACTTAGCTTGTGCAGCAGCTGAACTAAAAATGGAAGGGGTGGAAAAAAGAACGATTAGGAGCTTGTACTTCTCTGTACTTTGCCTATACAAAGTTCAACTTAACATATATGTCATTTATCCACAGAAAACATCCAACTTTGGTCGTTTACCCATGAGGCCACAGAAGCGAGTGAAGGTTCTTGGGATGCGGGTCTGTGGGTTGATCTCTATTAAAGCATTTTTCTCTGTGTGGACGTAAACCTGCAACAGGCCTGCCCTGTTCAGTGGACTGTCCATCAACATGAGCAGACACTGGTAAACGGAAATAAGATACCAAAGTTAAAAGTCATTTATACGGCCCTTTATCACGGCAATGTCTTGAAAACTTTAAATAAGAAAAACACAATGCACAGTGTTACGGCCGCCGCGGGATGCCTTAAAGTAATTGTTGTGTTCCTGAGTGCTTCTGACTGTCATGCAAATCCTAGCTGTGCAAGTCCCTGTCGAGGATTGGTTCCTCTGGAGCTGGGACCACCTGCTGTTCGCTTTGACTTTAACCGGAATTCAGTTGTCCTTTACCACCTTCATTTCAATCCCAAATCACTTGTTACTGCATTACCTTAACGAGCTGGGTCGTAACATAAATTACCAAATATACAATTTTCATTTAAATCCTATCATCATCATAAAAATATACACTATAATAAGCACGTGGTATTTAACTTCAATTTTCAGACATCACTGCTACTATTATTTTGTTAGTTTGTCTTTTTATGCAATGACAAATAAGGCAAAAACAAAACAAAGGTATGCAATTGGACAAATACTGGTAGTAAAACTAATGATACCGCTATTGCTTTAAAGACCTGATATACATTGAAAACATACAATTTGGCATTATAACAAATTGGTACATCTCTAACACATTAACCCACCAGCACCATGAAAATTTTAAGTCTCTACAGGTCTCAAGAATGACTTCCAATGCAATATTTTTAGTAAAGGGCGAACAACACTGGACTTTTGAGGTTATCTATATTGAGCTAGTTTTAAAAAAAACTTGCTAAGGACATGTCAGCCAATATGTGTTTTTAACATAAACACAAATAATAAATACATATTTTTACAAGGATCCCTTAAATAGTGTTATTAAATAAACTTGTCATTGTTCTCTGGTGGACAAACTATGTAATGGTGACACAGTTTCTATAATATATCACACAAGTGCACGATTGCCATGTCTTGTTCATTTTTGTCTGACATATACGCCAATACCAAAATATCTGTGATAAGCTAAAATCGACCATGATGCCAGTATATCAGTGAGACTCTACATTTCAGGTCTCGTTCTTAGGATTACAGGAGGTAGCTGACTGGCCTCATTCTAGACCTCTGGATCTCTGCTCAAGTTTCAGTCTTTTCACTGGTTCAAATAATAATTTACTGAAACGAAATGGCAGTCCACTTCAATTACAGGTCGTTACAGACATACGTGATTAATGCAGTTATGAACACTATTCTATCACGAGCGCTTACCTGATGTGCGATATCTGGTCTTATATGTCCCGGATTCCTTCCACTTTTGACGATGATATTTTTGTGTTGGTCACAGTTTAACAGCTCAAAGGTTTTTCCGACCTGGAGAATACAAAACATGAAAAACGGAGGTTACATACATACAACACCTATTGTAATATTTACCCCCAATTTAAAGGTATGGCTTCTGATGTCACTTCCACTTGTAGCAGCTAGGGGCTACGCCACAACAACACTCAAACACAACCCTGACGCTTTACCTTCACTGTTTCTAACGAAGCCCCCTCTAGAATAACAACTAGTCTCCTCTCTGCCATACGGTCGTGCAGGCTGCGGAGGTGTTTGGCCGGTTTTGGTTCATATTCGTCCAAATGTTCAAGACCACGCTTCTTCCCATTAGGAGCCGCCATGATGCCTTCGGATGGACCGTCGCAGAATGTGTACGCCACGGCAAAAGTGCGCGTTCATGAGTGGGGGCATTGTTCAAATTAGAGAAACTTCCCTTTTAATCTTATCTGATTTCCACAAACAAATGTCCTTAGCTTGGTCGTTAATTTACAAACCTAATTTCACCCCACATAGATGATTCATCTGGATTAATTGGCACATTACATACAAGAACAAATCTTTGTTTTATAAAAAATGGTTCAACAACTAAATAATTTACCCAGCTACGGAACAATAGGAAAAACTTGAATTATTCTGAATTTCTTCAGATTTCTTTTGGGATGAGCCACAAAGCCAAATTTAGTCACTTTAAATCTTTATTTATAGTATTTGAAAAGAAAACTGAGCAGTACACATAATAAATAAATAAATAATGTTTAATGTTTGTGTATGGAAACGCTGCCTGGATCTGTTCATGTCTGTATTTGTATTAATCAATTATTAATCCTTGTTTATTGTCTTTGCTAATAAAGATTTTTTTTCTTTTTAAAAAGAGAAGGAGTGGGAGGGCTAGTAACTAGTAAGTTCTTGATGTTGCGCATTTTAATGTAGATAATTACATTTATGGACAATAATAATAAAAAAAAACTGTCTGTTAACGGTCATTTTGTGTGCGCGTGCACGCAACAATCCCTCCGTCATTTCTCTGCGCCGGATCTCCTTCTACAACGTGTTGAAGTAAAATTCACGTGTGGGCATTTTACTGTACACAGTGCAAACAGAAGTAAGGCAAAAAAGGGACATATTAATCGGTGAGTATGTGAAGACTTGTTACTGAGCTAAGTAGGAAAGACTTATTCAGACAGTGTTCATAACCGAGGTCTTAGACTTGTCTGGAAACACGACATGCGGAGATGAGTTAATGTTCTGTTTAAAAATGGTCCTAGCAGCTTATGCTGTCATTACTCTGTAACTGCCAAAGTGTTTGAACGCGTTAATTAATGTTTAGGGTAAATAAGTCTCCTGCAATGTAAGTTGAATGCATATGAAAAACCAATAAACTAGCAGAAAGTACAAGTGAATATATGTAGCTATGGTGAACTGAGAGTAATGTGTGAGACTGCTTTTGTGGCCTCGCTCTTGATCACCATTTAAATAAGACAGTGCTGACTTTTTTGCTAGTTTCTCTTCTTGACAATCTTTGATTAACTGTTAGTCAGGAGCTGATATCTACTTCCCTCTAATCACTACCAAGAGTCTTCTACCAAACAAACTTGTGTATATGGAATTATTATAGGGACTCTCTAAGACAGTAATGGGACTCGCAGTACAATTTTTATTTACCAATTTGTTAAGAAAGACAGTTGTCTTATTACAGGAATTAAGATCTAAGTCATATCCGAGGCAGTTTTTCTAAACACATGGCTCACTTTTATTTATTTTTGTTTGTGCATTTTTACAATTGGTTTAAGTTACATTGATTGAGATCTAATCAAAATGCATGTAGGTTGCTCAAACACTTTTAACAGTGTATTTACATAGCGATAAGCGATTTACATAGTGATTGGTCAGGTTAAGCCATAATTTAGTTAAATGAGGATAATGTTTAAGGAATGTTGTGGAATTTACAACATACTGTTACTTTGATTGATGGATAGATTTATCAGTCCTTTCAGAAATTCATAGTGCACCATAAAGCAATCACCAAACCAACAGACAACATTACTGTCTTAGAGAGTCCCTATAATAATTCCATATACACAAGCCTACGATACCAAAACATCAGTATAATGCATATTATAAGACAGTGCAGCATCCTCTCACCCAGAGGTTCAATTACCTTTTGTTTCACAGTTTATTCAGCAATTCAATACTAGTTAGCACAAATGATCTGCAGGCCCACTTGGTTCAGGGGGTATGCGAATGCGTAGGTATATGTAACGGTTCATCCGATCCTCCCTGATATGAAGTTCTGCAGTTTCCTGCTTCTGGCCAAATGAGTCCCAGTCACCTCTGTTCATAAACACTGATATTGTCATTTTGCACAGGCTTTGAAAGGATGAAACATAATTTTCCTCTGCTTTTCAGGGTGTTTGTGTAGCTTGGAGTCATGGGTCGGAAGTTGGATCCCACCAATAAGGCGAAGAGAGGGCCTGGAAAAAAAATCCAGGAAGCAGAAAGGAGCAGAGACAGAGTTGGCCAAGTTTATAAATGATGGTGATTATTGTTCCCTTTATATTAGCTATTTATAAAGATACACGTTCAGTCTAGAAATCTATGCTGTTAAGTTTAGCAACAACCACTTTATTTTGCATCATTGTGGCTGGTTCGTCAAAGTGTTTATTTTCTGTTTGCAGAGGAAACGGGACCAAAACGCATGTCCAGTAGATCCAGGAAAAGGTAAGAGGTTGACTGATTACATAACATGAAATAATATTACTTGTTTCTAAGTTGCTCATTCATTCATTGTCATTTTACAGAGCTGCAAAAAGAGTCCAAATTTTGAAAAAGCCTAAAGATTCTGCTGTGGAACAGCCCATCAAAGGTAACTACGTCAGTGAGGTGAATGTGGTTGTGATTTTTTTTTTCTGTATACACAAGTGTAGATAATTACTATCCAGCAGCTACATCGAATTTAAGGATATGTATGTATTTGACTTGCAACTGTAAAAGATATGTGGTGATCTGTGGGTGTTTTTTTTCGAGGCTCTGTAAAGAAATCTGTTGTTTGTAAAACCATTTGCAGGTTCTGGCTTGTTTTTTAAGGGAACAACAAACGGACAAGATGAAATGTTATATGTGCCTGTCTAAAAATTATGTCTTTGAACTGTTTTAAATAGAGAACAATTTCATAGTATTCATTGTCCGTTTCTTTTTTTCAAAAGGGTTCACTGACGAGAACAGTAAATGGTTGATACCAGCAAAGAGGAAGCGCAAAATTGATGAACCCGAAAGTGAGGATGACAGTGATGATGAGCACTGGGAGGAAGAGGAGGATGATGAGGATGAGCAGCAGCAGCAACAGCAGAAGAAGGGAGGAAAAGACCAAGGAAAGAAGGGTTCTAAATTAGCAGTGAAAGAAGAGGAAGAGGAGGAGGAGGAGGAGGATGATGATGATGATGATGATGATGAAGAAATGGTTGATGACTATGGTACACTTGATGACAGCAGTGGTGAGGAAGCAGCTAAAGAAGAAAGTGATGGAGAGGAAGTAAGTGAAATGATTCTGCTGTAACTATTTGCCAACCACCACTTTGTTGTGTTTTCTGTAGTTAAGACTGGAAAGTTGACTAAAGTTGTGATTCAAATGTTGAAATTTGCATTTTGATGAGAATTTGCACTGATTTTGTTATAGAGACTTAAAATCCCATTCACTTTTGATGCGTTAAAACAGTGCCCTTGGAAGTTGTAACAGAATCATGGGGTGTATCTTTCAAAGTTTAAGGGTGGTTAATGTGGTAAATATAAAGTTATTATAATTCTGTGACTCCTTGTTTTTAGCTTCTTCCTATCGAACGTGCAGCAAAGAAAGCGAAAAAGCTGAAGGAAACCATGGCTCTTGGGAGTGATGAAGATGACGACGATGATGAAGAAGAAAACGACGATGATGACAACGAAGATGATGAGGAAAAGAAATCGGATGCTGACATGGATGAAGAAGACACAGTACAAACCAACATAGATGATGTGGATGAATTTAGGCTACCTGGGGCAGAGGAAAGTGCGAAGGAAGGTGAGCGACATTCAGTTTTGTTTCTAACAAGATTGCTCACTTTTAAATCAGCAAACGTTAGTGTTTTGCAAGAAGTCTAAATCTTTTTTTTTAACTGCATTTTCAGGTGTCCTGCCTCTAGACCTGAAGACGATCCATCAGAGAATAAAGGACAACATTGATGTCCTTTGTAATTTCTCAGCAAAAAGGGAGGAAGGGAAAGAGAGAGCAGAGTACCTCTCTCTCCTGAAGAAGGATCTCTGTACTTATTACAGCTACAACATCTTCCTCATTGAGAAATTAATGGACATCTTCCCTCTTTCAGAAGTGGGTTATTTGTCTTTGTGCCTATAGTACTGATTTGAAGTGCAGACTTGCATTACAGTGCAATCCTTTTATAGTGATCATGTCTGTCTGGATCAAATTGATCACTATAAGCAGATGATTATTATAACTATTTGTTTTCTTTTTCTTTCTAATGCAGATTACCATCTAATATATATTACATGAATATAAAGTAATGATTGATGATCTGTCTCAAGCTTTTTGATCCATATAAGCAGTTGGTCATTGTAACTGATCACTACGAGCTATTTCCACTGTAGTTTGAGCATGTGGCTTTTGTTAAAGACCTGATTGAGATTGTGTTGAGTTAAATGACAAAAAAAATGACTGTGTGAAAACAAAACATTGATGTTTATTTTTATTTTTCTTTCTTGCTCACAGTTGGTCGATTTCCTTGAGGCCAATGAAATTCAGAGACCTGTCACTATTCGGACCAACACACTGAAAACAAGGAGGCGGGACCTTGCACAGGTTACCTATTACACTATTTTCAAATGTCAATTTTCAAATATGCTTCATAGAATTTCAACTCACTAAAAAGCTAAATTAGTGTTTGTTTCCAGGATTTAGCAACATCATGGAAGTAACTCATTAAAAATATGAGTTTGATAAAATCTACAGTTTAGTAGCAAAAAAGTTGCAGGGCATATAGGTCAGACATATAAAGAATGGTCAGACAAAACGACGATTTGAGCTACAAATGTAAATGGATCAATATGTGTTATTCCTTGTTTAGGCCTTGATCAACAGAGGAGTGAACCTTGATCCACTGGGGAAATGGTCTAAAGTAGGTTTGGTCATCTATGACTCCTCAGTACCTGTAGGTGAGTTTCAGTACATTCACGTCAACGACCTGACTTGAGCTATTAAATATATTTATTGTATAATATCTGAGGCAGACTCGAACCACACAACCTTTTTAACTGTAATTCTTTCCATATTTGAAAACAGGTGCAACCCCAGAGTATCTGTCTGGTCAGTATATGCTGCAAGGAGCCTCCAGTTTTCTGCCAGTTATGGCGCTCTCTCCACAGGAGGGAGAGTTAGTGTTGGACATGAGCTCAGCTCCAGGAGGCAAGACCACCTATATTGGTAAGATGTGCTGCAGTTATACTTTGTGTAAAAGTTAGTCATTTTATGAGGTGTTTGAAACTGTGTAAACTAGACTAGGGCTGCAACTAATGATAATTTAATTATCAATTCATCTGCTGATCATTTTCTCAATTAATAGATTGTTTTTGTCTTGAAAAATGGCCATTATAATTTACCGGATGCAGACATAACTTATTTAAAATTCCTTGTTTTATCCGACCAACAGTCCAAAACCCAAATATATTCAAAAGAAAATCTTGAAGTAGTGAATTGACATTTTTTAAATAGAAAAATAACTGCTGATACATTTTTCGTGGATCAGGCTGTGATCAGGACGACGCATCAAATCAGCTCCCTGATGCATTGCTGACACATTGCAGACGCCAGCCATATATCTAGCATGCCAAATATCTGGAAGAGTCGGCCGACTCCACATCCAGCCAATGAGAGCAGGCAGCTACTTTTTCACCACAAAACACTTTTTACTCCCCTCCAGCTCTCTCTGTAGCTCAGACGATCACTGCTACTTGCGTGTGCTAATCTATTATTTCACCCATATCCTCTGTCTTTTTAATTGCTATCTTTATAATAACAAACAGCTGTTCCATGTGTAGGTTCTCGTCATTTCCCGTTTCAAATTCTTGACAAAATGTGGTTTGGAGTCATTTGCAGCTAGTGTAGTGTGTGACCCCCTGAAACCTCACGTAGTGTGAACGCCACAACGACTTCAAGACTCCCGTCACAAGACGGCAAGTTGTGTAGTGTGAACGGCACGGCGATTATGTAGTCTGCACGAGCCTTAAGCGATTTATTGACTCCTTGTTTCAGTTGTAATGTAGACCAACGCATATTAAGGCAAATGCAAAAATAAATAGTTTTCTCAGATGCAAATTAAATCTAATTAACAATATATGTGAACGTTCTACCCTTAGCTCAGCTGATGAGGAATACAGGGGTGATCGTTGCTAATGACGCCAACGCTGAAAGACTGAAGAGTGTGGTGGGCAACATCCACCGTCTAGGGGTTACAAACACTGTCGTCTGCAACTACGATGGAAGGCAGTTCCCAAAGGTAACATTCATACATCTGTAGAAGGACATTATCTCTGTGGTTTACATTTATTCTAGAGTTTTAGTGTACTGACTGCTGAAATGTTGCCTACAGGTAATGGGTGGGTTTGATAGAGTGCTGCTTGATGCTCCGTGCTCAGGCACAGGAGTCATCGCTAAAGATCCAGCAGTGAAGACCAGTAAGGTAAAACACCATTCACTGTTTACGTACACATTCGTATAGATACATACTTTGGGTTTTAAATAGTGTTTAATACTTTTTTCCCCTCCACCCTCTAATTTCCTGATAGGACGAGGCAGACATCCATCGCTCTGCTCACTTGCAGAAAGAACTGATTCTATCGGCCATTGACTCTGTCAATGCTGAGTCCCCTACGGGAGGATATCTGGTCTACTGCACATGTTCAATAATGGTATGTGTCCGATATGCAACTAATTAAAAAATGTTGTTTTGTTTCATGTCTTCTACATTCATTCTTAGGATTATGTGTTGTTTGAGTAGGGTCTGAAGTAGCAGAAAGTCTTGGGTATTGATCAAAATGTATTCTACCAGGTGGAGGAAAATGAATGGGTGGTGGACTACGCTTTAAAGAAAAGGAATGTCAAATTAGTTCCCACTGGACATGACTTTGGCAAGGAAGGCTTCACCAGGTAAATAAGGTGATTAATGTATTTTTTCACCAAGAAAAAGTACTCTGATTGTAAACTCTAAAATTTTTATTATTATTTTTTTTAGGTTCAAAGAACGTAGATTTCATCCTTCTCTGAAACTGACTCGGCGATTTTACCCTCATTCCCACAACATGGATGGGTTTTTTGTGGCCAAGCTGAAGAAATTCTCCAATGTAATTCCAACTGCACCAGCAGGAAAAGGTAACACTCTCTCTTATGAGCCCCATACCAGCTTTCATCATGATAGCTACCTTGTTTAACATGAACTCATCTTCTGTGCTGTGCTATTTATTTAGAAGAAGAAAACGCAGATGCTTCTGAGGCGACAGTTGTTACAGACTCCCCTGAAGAGAAACCATCCAAAAGTGTCAAGACAAAGAAGATTGTCCCGGGCAAGGCAGGCGACTTAAAGAAAAATCCCCGAGCCAACGGAACAGCAGCCAAGACGGGACCAAACATCAAGCCAAAAGGCAAAAAGGACTTACCAGCTGGACCAAAAAAGGCAAAGGTCGCCAAGATAGATGGAGAGACTGTGAAAGGGGCAAAGGCCAAGAAACCCGCAGTGAATACAGCTGATGAAACTAAAGCATCCAAGGCTGACAAAAAGGAAGGGTGCAGATTTGAGAAGAAGCAGGGCAAAAAGACAAAAACACCCAAGATGGCAAAGAACAGAATAGGAAAGAATAAATTCCGAAAGTTGAAGCACATGTTGGAAAAACAAGAAGCAGAGTGATGGTGTAGAGTGTGATAAACTACTAGATTACGTAAGAGCTTTGTAGAGCTTCCTTACGGACCCAGATCACCTCCCTTCAGCAAACGAGTATTCAGATTGGTGTGCTCTATTGTCATTCCAGAGCAGCTATACTGTATGTGTCATATTATTGTAATGCCCATGTACAAATGAACTGTATGATGTTCTCACTGAAGTTGGGGTCTCCCTTTTTTTATTTGTATTACAGAATATTCATTATGTTTGTCTTTTGATTTAATAGCAGGGTGCAACAGCTTCCATAAATCTGTAAAACATAATAAATCTTTTAAGATGCTTTTTCTCATCACATGCTTGATTCCTCATTCATCAGTGGGATTCTTAATTTGTCTTTTAGGTGTCTTTCAAGCCAGCTATGGAAACACTTATAGCATCTAATAGCTTTTACTTGACCAACTCTAATCACCATTTGAAATATATTTTGACTTGTTAATTTAGTTTTAATTAGTCATACTTCCAGATTCAGATATCTATTGAATTTTGACTAGTAACTATTTTTTTAACATGTAAATGTATGTCAATTGAAATTAGGAGCACTACGCTGAAGGTAGGCTATATGGAATATTTTGTTCCAACTAGTCCTCATGTGAATTGAAAAATTCACAATTTCATCTAATCCTTTTAACCATACACTTTAAATGATTCATTGTTATAAGTCAGAATGTAATAAGAAATGTCTTAAATTAAAATTTTGAGTAATCTGAATAAATAATTAGATTTATCTAGTAAATCTCTGTAAATCTTTAAGGGCTTCTTACATGAGTTTTTACTTGAAAATAAATATAAGTTTAGATGGGAATTTGCACTGGAAAGTCTGCTAGTGCTGTCAAGAGTGTGGAAACAACCAATTAGACTGGTCCATTTTGCACCGGAAGCTGTGTTGTTTACATTTTCTAAGATGGCGGCGGGGATGTATTTGGAGCATTATTTGGACAGTAAGCTGTTTGTTGTGCGTTTTAACATGTTAACAATATTTCAACCTGGTTAACTGGTTTTATACTTGGTGTTTAGTTGTGTAATACAGCTTCTGGCTGACCCGTGAGCGGAACCGACCGCTTTAACCGTTTTCAACGGTCAGCGGATTTAGGCGCAGTCTATTTGCTGGGAGATTGCACCGTAGCGAAGAAAGGATGCTGTTTCAGATCGTAAAGCATACATACTGTACCGGCCGTGCTAACCTACTTTAAATTCACTTAACAAGCAAGAGTTAATAGTGTTTGTGCACCTTTACTGCAGTACTTGTGAATGCTAGTTTAAGCGCTATCCTTATTGGCAGCCGGAGCATCCTCTAGCGCGTATGATTAAGCTAGCTGTCCTGCTTGCATTATTACTGTGTTTTCATGTTGATTTAACTGTAAGTGGGAGTAAACTGTTTGTTTCCCCCCCCCGCCAGGCATAGAAAACTTGCCCTTCGAGTTGCAGAGAAACTTCAATTTGATGAGGGATCTAGATCAACGCACAGAGGGTGAGAACAATGAACTGTTTAGTTGTAATTTAAATGATCATGATGTCCTCTGCACACCACGCCAGGTGTATGTCTCATCTTTAAACAGTGTGATTTATGCAGTGGTTCCTCGAAAAGGATCCCAAGGGAAGTCTGAGGGTATACAAAACGATATGTGTTTTTTCTTCTCTAATGTTTGCCTTTATCTTGTGAAATACTGCATAACGTTAATTTGACTTCTTCAGGCCACTCATCCTTCAAATGAAACATTTCAGGACTGTAGAGTCAGTCTTTGATCGAACTGCTTGCAAATGTCCACAGCAACGCCCTAATGTGATGTGGGGTCTCAAGTAAATTCAATCAACTGAAGAGTTCACAAGCCAAAATGTTTGGGAACCACTGATCTGTATTAGACTACTAGTGCAGTGTACCTCCTAACAGTTTGTAAACATTTCTAAAGAATAGCCTTGTGGTAATAAATTTTGAGTGATTTTTAAATTGACAAAATATTGTAGCCAGTATCCTAGCATTCGTTGTACACTTTGACTTTTTATCACATTGGTAACATTGACTTAACAGTTACAGTGTTTTAGAGGTTTACTCCTTGTCTCTCTTTCAGATCTGAAAGGACAGATAGACTCTCTGGCTAAAGAGTACACAGCCAATGCCAGGACTCTTTCCTCTGAGCAAAAGCTGTCCATACTGAGGCAGATTCAGCAGTCTTACAGTAAATGCAAGGAGTTTGGAGATGATAAGGTGCAACTGGCCATGCAGACCTATGAGATGGTGAGTATCTTATTATATATTAATCTGTAATATGAGTGGGATAACCTGGACAATCAATTAAACCACTGTGCTGATTGTAAATGAAAAATGCACCACAGTCAGTCTGCTGAAGTTCTATTTTCTGCAGGTCGATAAACACATCAGACGTCTTGACACAGATCTGGCTCGGTTTGAGGCTGACCTGAAGGAAAAGCAGATTGAGAGCACGGACTATGATTCCACATCTAGTAAGGGGAAGAAAGGTGTGTGTCCGTTATATTTGCTTCATATGTTTTTCTTTTGAGAGGTGGGAAATCAAAAACGCAAAACAATGGTAGGTCAAAAGCCTGATAATTCATCGCCCATTATAGAAATTGTGCAGAAAAAATATGATGAAGATTCCACAAAACCGCCTGAATTATGGGTGAACATATAGGTATACTGAATAAAATAAACATTTAAAAAAAATTGTAATTAAATGTGTTTTTTTTTATTTCCCTATGTTGCTTTTATGTAAAGCACTTTCAATTGACTCGTCATTGAAATGTGCTACACAAATAAACTTGCCTTTGTGTAATTCCAGTTGAGTCCCGACAAAAGGAAAAGAAGACTGCTAAAACAAGATCTAAAGTGAAGAGTTCAGATGAAGATGGCAGTCCCAAGAGTGCACAGAAGAAAGTCAAACTCCTTCAGCCGTACGTTGTGTATCTACTTTCCAGCTTATGAAGTCCAAGTGTTTACTTTTAATGTTTGAAGGTAGTTTTATGATCTGACTCCCATTCTCACTTGCAATTCTTTCTCCACATCATCAGAGGAGAATTCAGCAGCCCTACCACCAACTTTGGGAATGTGCACCCATCTGATGTTCTGGACATGCCAGTGGACCCCAACGAACCCACCTACTGTCTGTGCCATCAGGTCTCTTATGGCGAGATGATTGGCTGTGACAACACTGATGTGAGTTTTGTGTTATGGCCCCAGCGTCAGTCGGGGTTCACATGTTGTGCTTTTTGGATTGTAATTTACTCACATCATTTTATATGTTCCTGCAATAAACTTGATTTTTAGGTGGGTCCTAATATTGTGAGGGATTCGATTTGAGAATTTAAAATTACATGAGATAAACGCTACAAAAAGGTCACTGACATTGCTCTTTATTTTGGTTTTGTGGGTAAATAATGATAAATCAGTTGCACAGAAGAGGTGGAGAAGGACGAAGTGGAAAAGCTGTTACTGATGTTGTGAACTGATGGAATAAAAGAGGAGAAAAGTCACGAAAGCTCACAACATGCTGCACATGGTGCATTGCAAATATAAGTAAACAAGACAAATATATATATATACACACATATATATACGTATATATATCACAAAGAAGATGTTGGCATTTGTACAAACTAGAATGTGTTTATGGTTTTATATGTAGTTTTGTACCTTGTGGATTTTGTACTTGTTTTTCCTTCTGCAGGTTAGTTGCATTGATTTAAAGTCATATTATGTTTTAAGGGATTTTTCATTTCCAAGACAGCAATTCATAGGCAAAATGATAACATGTTACAGAAAGAGGAAAGGTGAAGTTTTGGTATAAATATGTGCTAAAATGCCCTTTTTGTGACATTTCGCTTTATAAAGAATTTAAAACAATTCATCTAAGAACACAGAAAATGCTTTTATTAATTTCATGAGACCTTTAATGTGAATGGCCTGTCACAAACAATGATTTTATGTGTGTATTTATAAATCACATTAACATTAAATGCCATCACAAAGGTCAACAACAAGATACCTTTATGGTGCCGACTTTAAGACTATGGAAGAAGAAGAATGATTTTTTTTTTAAATAGACATTTTAATAATGTTATATATCAATAATCAGTTTTTGTACATAGAGTACATGTACACCCTCTCACTTAGACATATTTACTAGATGCTAACCACAAAGAGGTTTAGGAGGCCTGCAGTCTCGTGCCTCTTCCTCTGTAGGTAAGGTCACAGATGACAGCAAGTAATTAATTAGCTGATGCCACACTAGATGTACAGTTTGTGATGTCTGTCCTTGAAAAGAATGATTTTGTTTTTTTATTACATATTTTGAACGGTTTTGTCTAGACTAAATGCTCCATCTGCAGGAATACTAAAGGTACATTATCGCTTTTTACTTTTACTCCAGTGCTCCATTGAGTGGTTCCATTTTGCATGTGTGGGCCTGACAACCAAACCAAGAGGCAAATGGTAAGAAACTCATTGATGGAGGTTGTGATGTACTACCCTATATTCAATGTGTGTGTGCAATCAGTAAAAGTGTAAATTATTTCTCAGTCACATGAGTCAACTAAATGTTTTTGCTGTTTTTTTTATCTATGCCATGCAGGTATTGTCCACGATGCTCTCAAGACAGAAAGAGAAAATAAAAACAGCTGGTTTACCTGGAACAAAATGTGGACAATGATCAGATGATGAAAATTAGAAGAATATTTCTTCATTAGTTACTAGAATTTTTTGTTTCTCATCTTCCTTAACGTTTGGTGCTTTTTCTTTTGGTTTATGTAATTTGCCTGGGTATGATGCAGTGTGTGTGTGTGTGTGTGTGTGTGTGTGTGAGAGAGAGAGAGAGAGAGAAGGAGCGAAGTGGTTACAAATGTATTTAAATATTGATTTTTTTTTTTAAATGGTTAACAATAATTTTTTTTTTTTTTAAAGTTACCTTTGGTGCTCTTATTATGACTTATTATAATTTTTTTTTTACGAGTGAATAATAAACACTACAACTGCCCCTAATGGTTTAACAATTGCAAGTCTTCACAATACTTTATACTGTATTCACATGTACAACTACAAAATTTAAGTATTTTCTCTGAAAACAGTTTGACCATGGGTCATTTTTTTGCTTTGTTGTATAGTTAGTTTCTTGTGCCTAGCCTTGCAACACTAGTTTTAAGTATATCAAGTGGGCAAAAAAGTATTAAGACAAATGCTGCATCCTGACAGTATTGGTCACGTGGTAGTGAGTTAAACCATTTTCATTTTTACATTTGATTGAGTGCTGTATAGAAAGTAAGAAATTTTGTGAAAAAGTATTGTCATTTCTGTAGCTGAAGCATTGGTACAGGGGAGGGGTGCTTGTGTTGTCAATCATTTGAATACAGCTACTACCTCAAAAAACTTGCATTTGTCTGTTTTTCATTAGACCGAGAAGTTTTAATCATACTGTTGTGTTCATCGTGGTCTTCTTCATACTGTAGTGTTCATTGTTCACCGGTAGGTGGTAGTGTTCTGTGAAATTCACCAGGTAACGAAGGCGCATGCGCGTGACGTCAGAGTTTCAGTGCTTTGGCGCGATGTCCAAACAAATTTGAAAGTGAGTGGATTCAAACCGCTTGCCGACGTAGGTTAGAGCAAACTACACTTTTATCTTCAGAGGTCGAAATTGCGGCTAACGGGCCTGCAGGCGTTACAGGTGAGCATAATGTTTTTATGTTTATTAAAAACCGAGTTACAAGCTAAGTTGTAGCTTGAACAGCACAGGTAATTTCAGTTAAATAACGTTCGAGCCAACAGGATAAGCTACGCAGTTATGCTAGCGTAGCTAGTTAGCCTGCTAACTTTACCAGCAGTAGTTGTTTGGCTAGCTTACTTCACAAAAACAAGGATGTAACGTTACTGTTTAATTAGAAAGACTTGTTAAAGTGTCTTCTGTCAGTGTTACCGACCTCCGTTAGTTAGTAGAATAGTGAAAACAGGTTAGTGCTGTTCTTTTCTAAAGCGTCTCTACACGCGTTAAGAACGGGCTAAAATATTTAACTGTTTGTTGAAGTGATAACTCTAACTTGCCTCGCTATGTGGATACTATAGCGATACAGTCTTTACAATGCAAACGAAGTAACGTTAGTTTAGGACACGTTGCAAGGAAACTGATCTTATGTTTTGTTTTTGTTTTTTTTTCTTGACGCAGAGATGTCCTGGGACTTTATTGTGCCTGTGTGCGTGGGTGACCTGGTGAAGACTGGGGGGATCAACCAGTACGTCGTTCAAGATGTGGTATCCCCAAAACATCTGCCATCCTGTCTCAGTAGTAAGTAGTGGACTTGTTGTATACGTCCTGGAGCTGTTCTTTGTCAGACATTTTCTATTGAGCTAGTGTGTTTGGGACTCAACTAAGGTTTTTGTCTCTTTCACACAGAATTCAAGGCAGCATTGAGAAGTCAGGGGCCTTTGTGTATATTGGAACACTTTGACACGGGCTACAGTGTGCTACAGTAAGTATTGATTATAGCTTAGGAATTAATAAAGTATGTCTTCATATCTATCTATCTCTAAGTAAATACTGCTTTTAAGAACTGTATGAGTACAAAGCTGCTGTGTTTACGTTTTAAGGCATTGCAACTCAGTGGAGCTGGGTGTGAAAGAAGATACTCTGGAATTGCTAGTACAAGGTTAGACCTCCTTTTTTCTTTTTTTTTGTTTAAATCGACAGAAATGCTACCAGTACCTTGATATGCTGGGGCCATCTCATATTGTCTGGATTTTTCTCCTTTCAGTGGTTAGTGGCCTTGCTGCTTCACTGCCGGCGCTCCTTGTTTCCACCTCTGTCTCAGCTGCAGAACGCAAAGAGAAACTTAATGCAGTTAAAATGAGCGTCTACCTGCTCTGCAAACTCACAGAGACCCTTGAGAGTGACTCCTATAGACAGAGTATCGTCACAGCACCTGGGAAGGTATGGTTACGAGAGAAATGGCTAAGAAAAACTGTCTGACAGCGTGTTTAACACTTTTAAATGCCCACTGATGAGATTATGGCAACTTTTATGATCTAGTCAGACCAAGAGATTGTGGTCTCTAGCCTGCTGTTAGATGGGTAGTCTTGGTAGTGTGGTGGAGTTTTATTGCACTGCTGTAAGGGTCCATCTACAGTTAACTTGTCACCTTCTACAACCTCTGCCCCCTAAGAGCAATGGGATGGCACAAGTAGGGGATGTCAAACAATGTGTGGATGTTTGTCTTTTTCTGTGTGTTGTGTGATTGTATATGTATCAGCTGGCAAGAGGCTACAGTCTATAGATGGTTTGGCAGGTGTGAACTACTCTTTGGTAATCTGAGGGCATGTGTTGTATGCTTATTGTAATTGTATCTAGTACATTATTTGAGTCCAGTATATGAAGCTTAACTGACTTGAATTTATCAGATTTTGTCTGTCTTGCACAGGGTGGTAAAAAAGGCAAAGCAGGTGGAGAAGGACTGCTGCAGTGGGACTCTGAGAGAGAGAAGGTCCTGCAGGCCCTCGTCCAGCTCCTCCAGTTGGATATCCGTTCCCTCTGGAACCTCTCCCTAGTGGAGGAAGAGTTCATCAGGTACTCTGACTGACTAGGGAGCACTGGGCAGATGTACAGTATCAGGCTTTGCTGTCTTAATTTAGTTGGTGTAATTTCCCCACTTTATTGTCCGGATCTCTGCCCAGGATTTATAACATTGTAGCCTTAATTGGAGTTTTTATGAAAATTATCTTTGCTTTTCCATTAGTGATGCCACACCAAACCTAACAAAGTTAGGTGATCTTGGAACTATGTTAAATTGTTTCATTTAGTGTTTCCATTGTGAACATTTCCTCAAATTCTTAGCTTTTTATTTTCAGTTCAGAAAGCATATGTTGGTGAATATGGATTAAAGTTGTTTATTGTTAGCACCAGCTCTTGATGTATAAGCCTAGAGTAAAATATCACCCATAACATGTTAGTAGTTGGCCTTAAGAACCATCACCAGTGTCTGTATAGTTCTGCTGAATTTCTAATGGATACAGAACTGTGTATATATTGTAATATGGGGCTGCAACTGATTATTTTCTCGATTAATCGATTCAGTTGTTTAGTCAGAATGTCAGAAGATAGTGAAATATGTCTAAATGTTTCCCAAAGCCCAAAAAGACATCTTTGAATATCTTGTTTTGTCCACAACCCTAATATATTGACTTTACTGTCAAAGAGGAGTAAAGGAACCGGTAAATATTTACATTCAAGAAGCTGAAATAAGATAATTTTCTTTAAAAATGGCTCTCACCAATTATCAAGTAGTTTGATTAATTTAATAGTTGACAACTAATCAATTGTTCGGTTAGTCATTGCAGCTACTACTGTAGAATTTCATCTGGCCTTGAAGTTGGTTTTCATGCAGGTTGTTGTACCACATCACAACATGAGCAAAACTTGTTCTGTCCTTTTCTTCTCTTAGCTGTGTGACCTGCTGCTGCTATAAACTACTTGAGAACCCAACCATTGGCCATGTCAAGAGTAAACCCACCAGAGATTGTATAATCCACCTACTTGGGGTGCAAATCAAGAAGTACAATCACCTCCTGGGTTAGTCTCTGTCACATGCTGAACCTGTGAGCACGGTTTTTAACTGAGGGAACAGAGTTTCAGGAATGTCATGTATTAAAAAAAAAACATGAACATTCAGCATAAATTGCTGATTTGGGGTTGTGGTTTGATTTTGATTTGAGTGTCTACTCTCTTTGAACTCCTCCAGGTGCAAGTGTAAAGGTGATCCAGTTGCTCCAACACTTTGAGCAGTTGTCATCTGTGTTTGCCCAGGCAGTGTCTGTGTGGAGCACAGAATACGGAATCAAGGCTATCATTGGAGAAGTAATAAGGTCAGTAGGCATCATTTGTTTGCATTGTAAGTTTCCAGCAAGCAGTCCTCTTTGTAATTCAGTCTGTGTAAATCTGATTATTTGACTGCAGGTGACCATGTTTGGATAGAAGTTTAATGCTTTATTTTTCCCCATTCCACCAGGGAGATTGGTCAGAAGTCAAGCGAGGAGCTTGCTAGAGAGGGGTCAGGGGTCAAAGCTTTTGCTTCATTTCTTTCGGAACTCGGTGCCCTGGTTCCTGAATTAATGATCCCCAACATAAGTGTGCTCATCACACACCTGGAAGGAGAGGTACTGCACAGTTGAACATTCTCATCTTGTTAACATTGAATTATTAATTTACAGCTGCTGAATGGGAAAACGAGTCAATTTTTAAATTTGCAGAAGCTTGCATAGACATTGATTTTTGCTCCTGAGTGAAAGTTGAAGAGAGCAGATTGTTTATTGTGGTTTTAAACTATTTGTGATGGTCAGAACATGCCAAACACTTGATGCCAAACAGTGGCTCACTTAACAAATCTGAGGTAGAACATTCAAAATAATTATGTTAAAATCTTCAACAACAAATATGCATGAATAAAATCAAGTAAAATCTTATTTCAGTCCCTTTTCCTCAATAAAATAAATATCTTAATAGAAAAATGAACTCTTAATTCATTTGATTCTAATTAAATCAAACATTTATTGAACATTTGTTATATTTTTAAGAGAAATTATATTGCGATTAACTATCTTTATTGTTTGATTGCTTAGGACTAATGTCAACACGTATTGAAAAGAAGACACAAAAGAGACGCAGAAGAAGCATGGTTCTTTTTTAATTTATACTTTGTAGCACAACAATGTTTTCCGCTTCAAAGTGTAAGAGACAGCTAGTTGCAATATTTTCACATCATCCAATAAAATTTTAGATACCAATTTGAATTTACTATAAAGTGATTCTCAAAAAGGGCTTTAGAAAATAATGATGCTCAGGTGCAAGTTATCACTTTTTCCTGTAAGTATTGCTATGACAATTCCTCATTGCACAACTCCTCGTAGATCTGAGGGTTGTCTTAAAGAGTTTGTGCTTTTTTGCCAGTTTCAGTAAGGTGACACATTTTGGTTGATTCTTGAGAATTGTCCCATCCACACACAGTTTAAGTTTATTTACTTACCGTTCACTCCACTTTTGGCCCAATGATGAGACCAAGGCGAATACGAGCTAACTGAATGAGAGTTGGGTTCTTCTTGCCTTGACTGGCAGGTAATCTTGGCAGTGCAGAGGAGGATTCCTGCTCTGCTGTAAGGGCCTGCCTACAGTGACTTGGCTCAACCCAAATTATTCCTCTACAGTCACAGCGGTGTAATTGCTGGTATGAAGCTGACAGTGTGTCCTGTCTGTGTCTCTTTATGTGCATGTTTAAGGGGAAAGGAGTTGACCCAGCTCTTTTTGCTGTTCTGTTAGCAATGAGTTATTTCTTTGGTAATCTGAGGGCAGAGGTCCAAAACTCAAAATAATGTCCTCATATTTGCTCAAG